GCTTGTTGTTCCCTTGTCCCTGGGCTTGTTATCCCGGGGCAGTCTTTTTTTTTAACTAGTTAACCTAAATTGCCTTAGGTTGTAAGAAGACATCAGGGAATTATTTGGTCAGAGAAAATTCTTTGTTTGCTCTCAGTGTTTTTAAATTTGTCACAATTGGTTTGAGATCTAAAATATGGTCTCCTCTGCAGAGTGAATCATGTGCGCTGAAATAAAATGCCTATTGTGCTATTTTGGGGTGGCGTGTTCTACATAAGTCTGTTGGTCTAGTTGGTGTATAGTGTCATCCTAGTGCTCTCTTTCCTTGTTCGTCATCTTATAAGCTATTCTGTCCAATAAGTCACGTATTGAAGTCTCCAGTAAACTATATATTCGCAATGCTTGTCCCACAGCTCCACCAAATGACATTTCTTTGGGCTTATCCTGCTTGGGACTTTTTGAACATTTGGATTTGTAGTCATGCCCTTTGTTAGATTAGGAACATTTTCTTTCCTTAATTCTTTAAATATTCTCCCTGTCCCTTTGTCTCATCTCCTTCATGAATTCTCATGATGCATCTCTTCTTGTAATTCCAATAAACTGCATTTAGCCTACTTCAGCCTTATTCTTGTTGTTCTTCAGCACCTACAGTTTTAGCTATCATATCCTCCAAATCAGAATACAGCAGTAGGTAAATCCTGTTGTTTCCCAGTCTCGTGATGGCCCCTTTCACCTGAAGTATCTTCTTTCGACCTTCATTTTGTTCTTGCATCAGTTCCCTTTTTTCTTTCAGTCCGTGGCTTCCCTTAGTTCTTTGATTATGTTCAGCATTGGGGTGCTCCTCCCTTATTGGCTCATCCTAGATGCACTTGCACTCCGTTTATCTTCTTCCTTTGGGTGGGCCGCTGCTTCTCTGGTATTTAAGTGGCTGTGATATTTTGTTGAGGCATTGGTGTAGATGTCTTGATTTTCCTTTCCCTGCCAGCCAGATGAGACTTGGGTCATTGGCCTTCAGCCAGTAGAGGGAGGTTGGAAAGAGGAACAGAAGAACTCTTGTGTACCCACTGACTGCCAGTTCAAGGGATCCACAGTCGAGAGAAGAGATTTGGAGGCAGCCATGTGAAGGGTGGAGAGGTGTGCTTTATTTCTTCCAGGACAGTCTCCCCTCAGGAGCATAAAGACCCTGCGTGCTGTTAGCAACCACTGTAGGCTAGCGATGAATCAGCACCATCTGCTCCGGGTTCTTTGCCTTTTTACCTGAGAGCATCCCACCCCCGCTAGCCCTGGGTCTGGGTTCTGGGTCATTTGGGAGTGGCATAGCATTTCATTGGGATGGGCATGCATCTTTGAATAGAACAGTGTGGAGTTTAGTGAGGAGCCCTTGGGGAATGGCTTTTGAAATCTATTGCCCCTGACCATTCTTACCCAGCCCCTCTGGTCTTTGAAAGGTAGAAAGGCCTGGCATTTCTTGATTTGATTTCTATCAAATCAAGATATATGCGCACCACCGGACTCTAACTGTTTTGCAAGTGTCTTCCAGCCATCAGCAAATTAGTCCTCACCAGCCTCAATGAGATTAGTGGTGAAACCTGGGTGTGGTTGGTTAGGAAAAAGAAGAGCAGAAATGACTTTCAATACTGTCAGCAAATCAACCTAGAGTCCAGCAAGGGAATTCTTTTTCTTCTTTAAAGGCTAGTCTCTGTATCTTAATTACAAGCCTTTCAAGACAGTTTGGCTTCGTTTCTGCAGTAATGGGCCTTTTTTTTTTTTTTTTAACATTTGCATCACTCTTGAGTTACAGGGAATTTTAATGTAATTTAATTATTCAACATCGCTCCCTTTAATCGCTCTCCTCCCTCCTTCTGCTTAACCTTGCCTTGCAGAACCTGAGCTGGCTGGAAGAGAAAGAGAAGGAAGTGGTCAGTGCCTTGCGCTACTTTAAGACCATTGTGGACAAAATGGCCATTGATAAGAAGGTACTAGAGATGCTGCCAGGGTCTGCCAGCAAGGTGCTGGAAGCCATCCTACCCCTGGTTCAGATCGAGCCACGAATTCAGCACAGGTGAGTTGCTCTACAAGCCTTGGCTGGGTCAGAGTAAGGGGTGGCCTAAAGGCATCTTGCTCTTGGCGTCACTTCACACTCAAACATTTCCAGAAACAGGGATGAGTATCAGAAGGAAAAAGGAGTTTCTCCCAAGCACTACCATTTAGTACTATCCCAGGATCAAGTCTGGGTTATTCTTGAGATGTCAGCCATCCTAGGGAGGCACCCACAGCATATGTCTCTGGTCATTCCCTTGCATTACCTCACCGGCAGTAATCACATTGAGGTATACACACTTCTCCAAGCACCCTCCATCCAATAACATCTAACTGTACAGTTTATTGTGATATGAAGGCTTCTCGACATCTAACCTGATATAGAACCTCTGCTGCTTAGATGAGTAGGCCCAAAGAGGTAGAGAAGGGTCCCATTAGTGTGGATTAGCGAAACACTTCACTGTGTTGGGCCAGGATCCCCAGCAAACGCAGCAATTGGATTAATTGGAGGCCAGAGAAACCAGATGGGGTCAGCCCTGGTTCCCAAGAAGCTTCTGTTAGGAAGTATTTGTATTGCTAGAGTGCATTTTTCCCTGAGAGGCTGTAGGAGCAGCCACCCCCAGTCTCTACGGTTAAGTACAAAAAAGAAAAGCAGTAGTCAGTGCAATTGTAAGTGAAAGCCTGGCAAGGGCTGTGTCCTGGAAGCTGTTGGATTCCTGCTGGCTTTGGGTTTTCTTCTACGCTACCTGTTCAGGATAAGCGCATCTCTGTTTCGATTCCTCGAGATGGTTTCATGTCCAGGTAGCCCCAGGAGACCTATGCTTTTATCAACTGCTTTCGGAATTTGGCAAGGCAATGCGGCTCTTTCTTCTTCGGAGATATGAAACAGTGTCTTTATTTCCTAGAAGCTGTCTGCCCTGGTGCTTCCACCTTGGAGTTTCAGCTGGCCTCTGCGGAGCTGGGGCCTGTGACTAGACCCTCATTGAAGCTAGTGGGTGGTGGGAGGGGTCTGATCAGAGTAGCAGGTGGCTCTGCCCTACTTTCTCGGTGGCTGTGCCTGACCTTATCCTAGTAGCTGAGGGCTGCATGTCCGGTCGGATGCTCAGATAGCTTTTTCCACATGTTCTCCTCTGCCTCTTCTCACATGTCAGTGCCCACCAGGGGAGAGTTAAAATCTAGGGGCAAAAACCAACCACACATTCTGAGAAAATGCTACTGTTGTGGAGCCCAGAAGTCCAAGAAAGGAGAGTTACAAGAGAGTTGAAGGTGATTGCCTAGAGCCGTGGTTCTCAACCTTCCTAATTCGGCGACCCTTTAATACAGTTCCTCATGTTGTGACCCCAACCATAACATTATTTTCATTGCTACTTTATAACTATAATTTTGCTACTGTTATGAATCAGGCGACCCCTGTGAAAGGGGCCACAGGTTGAGAACCACTGGCCTAGAGGAAGAGGAGTTGGGACTGGACTTGAAGGGTGGGAATTGTGAGGCAGGGGGTGGGGAGGAGGCAAAGAAAGAAAAAGAACAAAGTTACCAGGCCAGCAGGGCCTGGTGTGCTCAGAGGAAAAGACCTTTGAGCAGCCAGAGAATCACAGATAGGCCAGGAGAGTAGAGATTGAGGAGGGGTCACCTGGCCATTCTCAGGTGCTAAATTGTTGCAGGAGAGTACAAGCATGAGGTCCCTGAGCTAAAGCCTTTGTTAACAGTGTTACAATGTGCTGCTCTTAGAATTGTTGCTTCCTGCTAGAGAAGTTAGATTGTAGCTGTGCAAGCAAACCTCAAATTCCCTGCTATTGAATGGGTTCTGACCCCACAGGACAGAGGGTAGAACTGGCCCTGTGGGTTTCTGAGACTCCCACAGAGCAGCTGGTAGGTTCAAACTGCTGTGTCGTTAGCAACTCAATGCTTAGCCCCACCAGGACGCCTATAAAACTTCCCTAGAGACCAAAAACCAAACAAATAAAACAACAAACCAAATTTGTATGCAGTGTTTTCATGTCTCCAAGGAGCCCTGGTGATGTAGTGGTTACATATTGGGTTGCTAACCTCATGGTCAGCAGTTCAAAACCACCAGCCGCTCCACAGGAGAAAATGACTGTGTTCCTGTGATGAGTCACCGTTTCAGAAACCCCCAGGGGTAGTTCTGCTGTGCCATATACGGTCCCTGGGAGTTGGGATCAACTGAGTAACAGTGAGTTTTGAGGGGCATTTTGTTATGAATTCCCACTCCTTAAAACAAAACCAGCCATCCAAAAATCCTGATTCTACTCATCGTGCCTCTGTCGGACAGCAGAGAACCACCCCATAGGGTTTCTAAGACTGCATATCCTCATAGACACCGACTGCCACATCTTTCTACTGAAGAGCTAGCTTTTCTGTTAGCAGCCAAGCATTTAAGCCTTGCACCATCAAAACTCCCTGGTTTTATTACAATCGACCAGACGTATTCTATGTCTACAACCATTTCCTAGAGAGGGAGAGAAGATGCCTGGATGTGGCTATAAGGAACATCGGGGTGGAGGGGTTGGTGGGTGGGGGGAGGGGGGTTGGTCTGCTGGTAGTCAAGGAGCCCAGGTGACAGCGAATTACAAGTCGGGTTGCTAACCCTTGGTCAGCAGTTCACCCTGCCAGCCATTCCTTGGGAGGAAGAGGAGGCTCTCTGCTCCTGTGCAGATTCGCAGCCTTGGAAACCCACGGGGTCAGTTCTACTCTGCGTTGTGGGGTCACTCACTCTGAATCAGAACTGACACAGTAGCAGTCAGTGTGGGTTTGTTTGGTTTTGCTTTTAGTCTATCAGTCATTTGGCTGATACTGTATAAAGGAGTTTTCCTTTTACTGCCAAAGCCAATGGAGTTTTGGCTATTCCCGCCTCCCTATGAAGAACGTATTGCTTGTTTGTTTGTTTGTTTGTTATCGATCCCTAAGACTGGAAATGCATCCTCGGACATTTCTTTTAGACCTTTTTCTAGCATCTCATACCTCTCCGAGTGGTGTTTGTTAGCCAGGAAGGTGTTTTCCCTCCTTCAGCACAGAGCCTCACCAGTGGGTTGGGCCCTGTGTCCTAAGACTGGCGTGAACTACCCTTGACGAGTGAGGCAGCCGGTTATTCTTAGAAAACCGTAAGTGGAAGTTTCCCCTCTGTGCATTGGCACACCCCGAGAGCAGGGTCAAGGCGACTTTCAACTCGGGCTTCTCTGCTGTATTCCAGAAATATACCAGCTGTGAGTCCACTAGCAGCCTTTCCTTAAGAGGAGCGTCCTAGCTGCTGGATGTAGAGAAATAGCCTGCTCCCAAGCTAATCGTATATAAACCAAAAGAAAGAAACTCACTGCCATCAAACGGACTCCAATTCCTGAAGACCCTGCACAACAGAATAGTACTGCCTCTTTACATCTTTACAGGAGTAACCAGTCTCGTTTCCTCCAGCAGTAGGTGGAGTCCAACTGCTGACCCTGTGGTTAGCAGCCCATTGTGTTACCTACTACGCCACCAAAGTTCCTGATCATATAGAGGATAGGCCTAATTGCCAGATCCCTAGGTGCTTTCATGGAAACATTGCCACCCCTCACCAAAATAAACCAGCTCCCATTAAGTCGATGTTGACGCCTAGTGAGTAGAATCGCCCTATAGAGTCTCCAAGACTATAAATCTTTGTGTAAAGCAGACAGCCTCATCTTTCTCCTTTGGAGCTACAGCTGAGTCCAAACACTGACCTTCTGCTTGGCAGCTAAGTGCTTTACCCATGGTGCCACCAGGGTTCCTTTTACCATCCAGGTGGAAATTAAGTATCATGTAAAAGAAAATTTCCAGAGGCGGTGGCAGGCTGGCTACTGTGTGTGAAGAAAGGGAGAGTGGGCCGCTGGGATTTCGCACCTAGGCTCTCACCATGATGAGCAGCACCCTAGCCAAGATCTCAGCACCCTAGCCAAGATCTCGGAGATCGAAGCAGAGATGGCTCCAACTCAATGGAACAAGGCCACAGCACACAACCTGGGGCTGCTCAAGGCACGTTTGGCTAAGCTTCGCAGAGAACTCATTACTCCAAAAGGTGGGGACCAGGAGAAGGTTTTGATGTGGCCAAGACAGGTGATGCGCGAATTGGGTTTGTTGGTTTTCCATCTGTGGGGAAGTCAACACTGCTCAGTAATCTGGCAGGGGTGGACTCAGAGGTGGCAGCCTACGAGTTCACTACTCTGACCACTGTGCCTGGTGTCATCAGACAGAAAGGTGCCAAGATACAGCTTCTGGATCTCCCTGGAATCATTGAAGGTGCCAAGGATGGCAAAGGTAGAAGTCGCCAAGTCATTGCAGTGGCCCGAACCTGTAACTTGATCCTGATTGCTCTGGATGTCCTGAAGCCCTTGGGGCCTAAGAAGATCATTGAAAATGAGCTGGAAGGCTTTGGGATTCGTTTGAACAGCAAGTCCCCGAACGAACATTGGCTTTAAGCAGAAGGACAAGGGAGGCATTAACCTTACAGCCACTTGCCCTCAGAGTGAGCTGGATGCAGAAACCGTGAAGAGCATTCTGGCTGAATACAAAATTCATAATGCTGATGTGACTCTGCGGAGCGATGCCACAGCCGATGCCCTTATTGCCGTGGTGGAAGGAAACGGAGCCTATATCCCCTGTATCTATGTGTTAAATAAGATCGATCAGATCTCCATTGAGGAATCTCCAATAAGGTACCTCATTGTGTGCCCATCTCTGCTCACCACCGCTGGAATTTTGATGACCTTTTGGAAAAGATCTGGGACTACCTGAAACTAGTGAGGATTTACACCAAACCCAAAGGCCAGTTACCGGATTATACTTCCCCGGTCGTGCTGCCCGACTCCAGGACAACGGAGGATTTCTGCATGAAGATTCACAAAAACCTTATCAAAGAATTTAAATACGCTTTGGTGTGGGGTCTCTGTGAAACATAACCCTCAGAAAGTGGGGAAAGATCATACACTGGAGGATGAAGATGTCATTCAGATTGTGAAGAAGTGGCACGCTCCCGCAGCCCCACTGCGGGGCCAGCGTAGCAGCACCATTGCCCACGACCCAGCACCCGGCACCAAACCCCTTGGCTTTGGCAGCCATTGGATCAGGATTCTGGGGAGGGAAATGGAAGCTCACGCACTGGAACCACGCATCTTGGTGTCAGCTTGAACGTTGACCTGCATAAAGGACCTGTTCTGCCTGCACAAAAGAAAATTTCCGAGCTTCTCTCTGCTTTTCCATCAGATCATTGCCCATCTTTTACAGTGGGTTGCTTTGGTGGCACCCCCTGTGCTGACCATGTTAGTGGAAGGCAGCAGTCTTTGTTTACAGAGGTGAGACCAGCCTTTCAGAGGGAACTGCAAGCCCTCGCAAGTAGGGCTTTGCCAGTCTGTGAGACCCGCCCAGCATCAGCATTAGCCACCACCTTCAGTGTGCTTGTCTTCATTCTCCTTGCATAGGGGAAAAGAGAGGTCTGACACCAGCTACTGTTACTGGGATTATCCCTGGAGGCACCTGGGGTGGGGGGGGGGGGTGGGGGGGGAATTACCTTTTTTATTGTTGGTTTTTTTTTAATCATTTTATTAGGGGCTCTTATAACAATCCACATATCAACTGTATCAAGCACATTTGTACATTTGTTGTCATCATTTTCAAAACATTTTCTTTCTACTTGATCCCTTGGTATCAGCTCCTCTTTTTTCCCTCCTCCCCCCTGGTTTTCTTGGGGCACCTTTTGTACATTTCTCATGTTCCTTCTAATGGGACTTGAAGTTTGCTCTTAACGCTTCCTGCCTCCTTGTCTCCTGTTGGAACATACACAGAGTAAAATGACTGGCTAATTGGGAATTTTGGATCTCTGGAAAATTGTTTTTCTTCTTTACCTGGTTTGAAGAGCTCCTTGCTGGAGTGCTGTTTGGTTAGGCCTTTTGCTTGGATGGTTTTACTTTTCTAAAAAAAAACAACCCAGTGCTATTGAGTCAACTCCAATCCATAGGCACCCTATCGGACCAAGTAAAACTGCCCCTGTGGGTTTCTGAGACTGTCAATCATTTCAGAAGTAGACGACCTCCTCCTTCTCCCACAGCTTTGACTTTTAGAACTGTTTTAGTCATTTCTTATTTAGTCATATCATGTCTATTCTGTCTTGCCTCAAAATTGTGCTTTTGAAAGTTCCTAGGTCCCTGGCTCATTCTGTGTGATTTTTCTTTTTGAGGTACTTTGGGAGTGGAGTGGAGGAGGGGTTAGCATACAGATAATTGGGGGGGTTTTCTTCCTCAGTTGTGATGAATGTTTGAAATATAGAAATCATCCTTTCAAAAATTCTAAGAGAAACTATTTTAGTTACTTAAAAATATATAAAAATGTAAGAATTCTTCTCTTTAGCCACTATTTATTATCCTTGCAGTACAGCTGGTGCCTTAATCATTTTGTGATTCATGAGACATGATCACCCCCAACATTTTCAGCTCTTGGGTTTTTTGGGAAGCTTCTGTCCCAGTTATAATATGTACTCCTGCATGAATCTGAAAAACACAAAAACAAACTTCACCCCACTACTTCTACTACCAGAGCCCACTGGAGCATATACTCCCCACATAATTGTATCACAATCAATATTACCTCAAAAACAAAAGTTCCCCTTGGATTCAGCATGCCTTCTATTACTAAAAATACATGGTATCAATAACAACAACAACAAAATCCAAAGTAGAAAATAACTCAGTCATGAAGGATTAGTCTTGTTCCTTTGTTTATGTACCAATACCTAATCCCAGCCTCTCACTGTACCCACCCACCCATCCCCTACCAGAACACAACTCAACTAACATTTGTTATTCTTGAACTAATCTTTATCAGTGTGTTCCTCTGACATCCAGGCCGTGGTTATAATGCAAAGCAAGGATGGGGATTTTTTTTTCCTGCCAAGGGCCATTTGGATATTTATAGCATCATTCGCAGGCCATACAAAACTATCATCTTAAAAACTAGCCTGCTGTATTTGGTCAAAACCTTTAATTAGCTCACCCTTAATGTGATGGCTGGGACTGCTTCTCTTTGGTGTATGACATGTGATGTTACTGGTAGTGATACTTGTGCAGGCCTTCAGCCCAAGAGCTGGCTGTTGCCCAGCCCTGCTGTAGAGGAGGAAGGAGCCGAGTCCACACTAGGAGGAATTCTAGTGAACTACAGATCTGGGGAAACCACGGTTACTCCTTTAAAGGAACCTGCCTGCTAAAGTTTCACAATCCTTTTGGCCTCTTATGACATCTCTAAATCAAGTTTAATCGAATTCAAAATAAGACATGCACAACACTTTGACCTTGTCCAGTGCCAGGAGGAGAGATGAGTCACTCCCTCAGGGCAGTTACTAGAACTTGTGGCGATGTGTGACGTTTGAGAGAGCAAACATCCCCGGTGATGGAATTCATGTACATGTAGTCTAGCAGAAGCCAACTTGTAAAGCTCCACGAAATGTTCTGGGATAGATTCAAGATGATAGGCTCATAGGAGAAAATGATTGTCTACTACTAAAAGAGATATGGATTTTTTAAGAGCGAATTTTAAGAAACTCTCCATAATAACTAAGAAATTGATTCTGTGATGACAGGATATCTGACAATAATGGTCATGCTTTAGCTGTTGTTTTGGTCTTTTTTAAACACTCGTGTTAAAAAACGTGTTTTTCCCCCTATAGCTCAGCCCTCTCCTCCTGCTATAGCCGGGTGTACCAAAGTCTCGCCAACCTCATCCGGTGGTCTGACCAAGTGATGCTAGAAGGTGTGAACTCAGAAGATAAGGAGATGGTGACAACCGTGAAGGGGGTCATCAAAGCCGTCCTGGATGGAGTGAAGGTACTGTGCGCGGGTTCCTAGTGGTCTTAATTAGGGACTTAGCCCAGGGTCTTTGCGCCTGCCTGAGCAATCTGTTCCTGGACTTATAACGAGTATCTCCCAGCATTCTTTAGAGTGGTATACTGCTCGGTGTGAAGCTCCTTCATTCTCTCTGGACTGGTATGGATGGCTCTTATAGCAATACAAGCTTTTGGAGTCTGTGTCCCTATTGTTGGAGAAGACCCCAGAAGCCATCAGCCTTTATTGAGCATCCTATTACATTTTCCATGAGTCTTTACATCACAGCACTATCTGTACTTGCCAGCTAGACTGAATTTCATGGAAATGGTTTCACACTAATGTTTAGCAACACACCCGGCATGTCAGCAGCTACCTTTTCTTATTCTAAGAACTTCAGGAATGCTTGGTTTCAAGAAAAAAGCAGTATTGCAATAAGTAAGAAATGAAACCGCCTGTATTTGCTTGATTTGAGAGCCAGGGTGTGGTCAGTGTGTATACTACCCGGGGCATTCAGAAACAGCATAATGAAAAATAATGAATCCTAGTTAAAGAAGGGAAGTGAAGGCCCTAGAGAATCAGGAACTGAGGTCCAAGGGACAAGAGGTACCTCTGAATGAGAGGTGGATTAAGGCCGAGGCAGAAGGTTGGGCATGAAATGGGTGAGGACCTGTGGTTTAAGCCTAGGGCTATGAGCCGTGGGTGGCTGGAGACCCTGATGTTGTGGGACAATAGATAATGAAGAGGAAAGAGGCTTTGGAGGTCCCTTGGGGTTTGAATACCATGTGTATCCTATAGGAGTCTGTGGCCTTGAGCAATTTACTAAACTGCTGTGTACCATAGTTAATTCCTCTGTGAAAAACTGCCTACGTGGTCAGGTCGTAGATTCGATTAGCTAATACACATACAGCTCTTGGAATAGTGGCTGGCACTCAGACCTTAATTTCTCCATTATCAGTTATATGGTACTCACTTCATGCTTTGTCAGTTGATCTCTTTGTTTGACAAAACTATACGCCCCTTCCTTTAACCCAGAATTAAAGCTAATATGCTTACCTCAAGTTAAAAAAAAAAAAGGAAAGAAATCCTTGACTGCTTATCCATGTGCTCAAATTCCTGGATGCTGTGTCCTTAGATTGGCAGTTCCTGGTAGCTTTGGTCTCTGAGTCGGACTCATGACTGCAGCCACAGCTTGGTAGCTCAGGAGAGTCAGCTAGAGACGGGGACAACAGTGTAAATAGTTCCAGAATGTGTTGGCTTGAAGAATCTAGGTGTCCTCTCTCCATCCCCACCCCCTACCGAACCCCATTTAAGTAGAGCCTGGATGAGGCTGCCAGGGTCTTTACTGAGTTCAGTTAGAGGGATGCCTCGCTAAATGACATCAACATTTCCTTTTTAACAGTTTTGAAATAATAAATTAGATGGAGAGTTTACATTTTTAATATCAATTTTGTTTTTCAACAGTTTATACCACATATCAAACACACATACACGCCCCAATAGTTTATCCTACCCTTCATCCTTTGATTTCTCCGTCTTATGGATTGTTGTCTTCCACTGCACCCAGGGGAATACGTGTCAACTCTGTAGTCCCTCCAGTCCCCTTTCCCTTCCCTTGGGAACCACCAAAGTCTGTTCCCTTTGCTAGGAAAGCCTCCGTCTTGGCTTGATTTTGTTTTGGTTTGTTTCCATGGTCTCATGCAAGACTTAACAGGGGTCCTGTACAATATTTGTCCTTTTGTGATGGACTAATTTCACTCAGCATATTGTTCTCCAGGTCGCTCCTGCCGTGAGGTACTTCATGGTTTCGTCATTGTTTTTCAGTGATACACCGTAGTATATTGTGTGTACACACCAGTATACTGTGTGTCCGTTCTTCTACCAATAGGCCTTCGGGTTGTTTCCATCTTGTTGCTGTTGTGCCATGAGGAACATGGGTGTGCATATGTCTGCTTCCTGCTTTAAGGTATGCACCCAGCAGAAAGATTCCCTGATCATATGGGATTTCCCAGTTGTCCCAGGTAGTGCCAGATCTGCTTTCCACAATATTTGTACATATTTACAGCCCTCTGGTAGCTGCCATTATCTTTTTGGACTGGTGAGACTGTAATAAGCCCTCATGTCACGGTACAGACTGGAGAGTACAGCTCTTCCGAGGCCAGCCGACGTGCCCAGAGTTCCATTTCATGCACAGAGTCCACGGAGCTCTAGCTCATCTCCTCGTGCTGTTCCTGCCCGAACTTCTGGGAAGGCTGTTATTAGACCATGTTATTCTTCAGGTAACAGTTGTGAAGGTTTCCCTCCACAAAATCAATTATGATGAGATTTTTACAACACATGGACCACCCAAAACAGAAGAGGTTGTGTTTCCATCCATTAAACTATGTGACATCCCGAAGCAGATTTCCTTTATGGAATCATTAGAATAAAGCATTATTGTAGCCATTGAAAGGCATGTCTAAATTACTAATTTCTTCGATTGCCAAAGTGTCCGGGCTAAAGGGAAAAGTATAAAGAGAGAAACCTATAGATGATGAACCTATCCATGTCTGAAAGTAAATGACTTGTCCACTGAGTGAATATTTTCTAGATGTGGAGCTTTGTAGGGTCAGTCTTGCTTCAGTTATTCAAGGAGCCTTTATTAAGAGTTATGTATGTGCCGGCAGCTTGAGAGAATTGGGACTGTGGTGCTGAACAGTAATAGCACGTGTCCCTAAGCTTATGGAGCCTAGTCTAAAGGGGGGAAAGACCACAAACAAAATGTACAATTCAGTCATGGTAACTAGGACGGGGGCTACAAAGGAAAATGGTGCCTGATGTTACTAGGATGTACTGGCACTTTCCTTTTTTCAGGGTGGTCAGGGAAGCCTTCCCTCAGGAAGAGACAGTTCTGCCAAAGCTTGAAGTTCAGATGGACAGAACTCAGTTGTTAGCACCTTACGGTAGTGAGAGTGAGGGAGAGACACTGTGATGTGGTCCTTTGTTGTTAACATTTGTCCAGGATTTTTCTGCTGTTTTATTTAATCCTTCGAGTAGCCCACTGATCCCCTTTTACAGAGATGGAAACTAAGGCAGTCAAGCAATGAGTGGCAAGATGGGGGGGGGGGTCACACCCAGTCCCAGGACACATACCTTACCCTTTGCTGCCTCCCACAGGGAGAAAGGTGCACCGTTATGTCCACCCCCAACCCAGTTGACTTCTAGCCTCTCTCACTTAGGACACCTTATAAGCTCATGTCCTGATAGTGTGAGAGAGCCTTCCTGGCTGAGAGGGACCAGGTCTGTGGAAAGAAAATACATCTATGAGCATTGTGTGTGTGTGTGTGTGTAAAAGAGAGAGATGTTGGCATTTTCCTTTAAACTGACTCACCGTCTTTCAAGTGACTAATTGTTAAATGGAATCTCAAATTCCATTTGAGGGGGGCGGGGCGGGGGGGGGGTTGCAAAAATATTTTAAACAAGATTTTTTTTTCCCCTCTGAATGAATTGTAGGATTTATCACTTAACTCCCTCCACCACTTCCCCCCACCCCACCCGCCTCCATAAATGCCACTTGTTAACTTTGTATCCTTGGGCAAGTTACCTCTTTGAATCTCAAATGGCCTTAAAACTATTTGCCCTGAAGTTTCGAGGAAAGATTAAGTAAGATAATATAGGTAGACTACCTGACACAGAGTAGGTGTCTGGGGATCAAGGCCAACTAACAACAGCAAATACTATTCGCTGTCAGAGTTAGCTTCTAAAACAGCTCACATGGGCCATTCCTTCACAAGGAGGGGGGCTCTTTGTCAGGGAATCCTATAAAGCTATGGTCAAAATACAGACTTCTGTTACCTGCTCTGGCCCACACCCAGCGTGGGATCTGGCCCAACAAAGTCAAAGTATCCCCGTTTACCCTTTTGAAACCAATACCCCAACTCTTCCCAACTCGCCCAGTTTCATTTCAATTTTTCTGCTTAGCCCAGACATACCAACTCTGTCCCCGTCTCCTTGGCTCTGCTTTGCCATCTTCACAAAGCCTCCTGGGTTGTCAAATCTTCCTTGCAAATCTCCAGTCTCAGAACTAAAGACCCTCCTCCCAACTCCACACACAGGTTTTGTTTGTTTGTTTGTTTGTTTGAATGGGAAAAAGTCTTCTGGTGCTGATACATTTGGGGAATTACTTTATGCCAGCAGTCCTGTGACTGGTCATCACCACCCGCAATTGGGCTTGTGTAGCAGGTGTGTTTTAAAGGGAATGTTTTCCTGGCAGGAGCAGTTAGTATTATGGTTTCAAAGTCATTGATAGTGCTCTCGCTTTGGGATATGACAGGATGTTTCCGGTTCATCGTGGGTTTTAGGGAGTTAGAGTTGACATGTCTACAGTTAACACATTGAAGGTGCAGAATTCAGTGCTTGCTGGTATGCTCCTTAAACTGTGCAGCCATCACCACACTCAGTTTTGGAACCTTTACCCACCCTGTAAATAAATACCATACCCTTTAGCTCCCACTCCTCCCCTATTCCTTGGCAACCATTCATCTGCTTCCTGTCTTTGTGGATGTCTCTGTTTTCGACAATTCATGTGAGTGGAATCACACAATATATGGTCTTTTGTCGCAGGCATTGACATAGCAGAGTCTTTTTAAGGTCATGCATGTTGTAGTGCCGCAGCACTTCATTTCCTTTGACTGCCAAGTACAAAGTCATTCATTAGTGGATGGACAATTGAGTTGTTTCTGCTTTCTAGATGCTATGAATAGGAGTCCTCTGGATATGTGTGGACATATTTCTCTTGGGTGGATACCCAGGATTGAAATTGCTCAGCCCTATAGTAATGCTGTTTAATCTTACAAGGGGCTGCCCGGCTGCTTTCCTAAGACCTACGCCATTTCACATTCCCACCAGCAGTGCCTAAGGGTAAGAGTTACTCTACATCCTCCCCACAGTTGTTGTTAGCTGCTCTTTTTTATTCTAGCCTCCACGTAGTGTAGAATAGCATCTTAGTGTGGCTCTGATTTACC